AGACATAGGGTCAGCACCAGTAGAACATAACTGTGGCTCCTCGTAGTCGGTAGTCGTATCACCTAAGGTGTGAACCTTAGAGGTAGCTGGCTTGGCGGTCTTATCATTAGACCTCAAGCGAGAATTAACGATCTCATCATAGAGTTTCTGTCGTTGTTCACGGCCTAGACGTCGGCGCTCAAAGTTAGATAGATAAGAGACAAACTTCTCATAGGAAACCTTAGGGTCACTCAGTTCCTTGTCGACCTTTTCTCGTAGGTAGTCGGAGTTGAGACCATCGTAGAGACGACGTTTGAGGATGTACTCGTACGTACGAATACCCATGAAGTGAAGTTCGGTGACAATAGACTCGAGCCTCTTGACATACCTAGCGAGAGACTCAGAGTTACCTTGACGACAAGTAACGAACTTGACTTCAGCTTTCGCAATAGCATCATCATTGTCATAGAGCTTGCGAATAGTAGAGCATAGCCGATCGAGGTGTTTCTCATAGTCGACATAACATCTAGTAGGCGGTTCAGTACCCTTGATAAGTTTGGCCCAGATAGACTTCTCCATATTCTGCTTGGCCCATAGATATTTAGTAACAGCATCATGGCCTTCTAGAGCAGACAAAATTTCACGGACGAAGGTAGAACCGCTTCTATCATCGTCCTCACCCAAGAACTTAGAGGTCGACGACGACTTAGTCGCAATGTTAGAAGCAACATCATAGTCCTTCATGGAGATCTTCGATTTGCACGGCTTAGACTTACAACCTGGGCACCTAGATCGATAGGAAGGTACCGCACGCTCAGCTGGGACATAGAAACGACCATTAGTAACGCCATTCCGATAACAAAGTCCATAAAGAGATCGAGAAGAGTTGCTCGATTTCTTAGAGGCAGGATGGCTTCCTTCGCTGTCGGACGAAGACAACAATGATGAGCGCCTAGAGTGCGAAGAAGATCTTGAAGTACTAGAACCACTCGAGCTAGGAGAAGAGGGAGGTGACTTTGACAGATGTCGCCTATGATGATG